TATTTTAGAAACTTATAATTATTAAAAATTTTAAAAAAATAAAGACAAACTGTGCAAAAGACGACCTAAGGTCTAGTTAAGCATAAAAATTTGAAAAAAAACTACTCTAAAATATTATAGTTATTTATTATTTTAGAAACTTATAATTCTTAAAAATCTTAAAAAAATAAAGACAAACTGTGCAAAAGATGACTTAAGGTGTTAAGCATAAAAGTTTGAAGTAAATAACTAATTAAATTTAGATGTGGTAGGATACAAATAATCACCTAACTTTCATGACTCAGACATTTTTCTTTTACTGTACACTTACTAAAACTATTTGAAAAGTAATTGGAATACATTCTGGTTTAACATATTTTTCAATACTTGTTTGATTTAATTATTAAAATATAATATAAGTACAATCAATTCAATTAATTTTTATATCTTATATGTATAATTGTATTTTTAAATTTATATATTTTTAATCTTAGATTAAAAAATAATAATTTTATAATAAATATATTTTACAATCTATAAACTATTCACTCTTCCTCCCGATGCAAACACGTGGAACTAGCTGGTTTACACCTTACACGCGCTATTGCCTTATTACCACCATTATTGGCTTGCCAGATCCAAATAATCTTGAAAGGAAGCAATTTGCAAATGCCATGCTTAATGCTATTTACAAAGGGAAGTGTTGGAAAGTAAGAGACTTATTTGAAAGCAATCGAGCTGATGCAATATCTACAACATTTGAAAAGGGGCAAACTGCTCTTCAGGTTGCAATTACTGCTGGTCAGCTAACGGTTGCTAAGGAATTGATTACTATTACTAGTGAAGCAAACATAGACCACTTGAGGACAGCAGATAAGAATGGCAACACAGCTCTTTCCTTTGCTGCTCGTAGTGGAATGATGGAAATTGCAAAACGCTTGATTAAAAAGAACAAGGTCTTGCTTACTATCGCAAATCGCGACGGAATGCTCCCGGTTCAATTGGCGTGCAGGGCAGGCCATGAGGACATGACTCGCTGCCTCTACCGCAAGACCCTGAAACTGAAAGAACGTCCAAAGAAAGACTATTTCTTCTACCTCCTCGAAGAGTGTATAACTAAGAAAATGTTTGGTAAGAGCTCTAACATGCATCTTCTCTTTCTATAATTTTGTTATTTCATTTTTCTCTAACAAATTAACTTAATTTGACATGTATCAGAAATTGCACTTCATCTCCTTTATCACTTTCCAGAGTTTGCAATATATAAAATCTTTAAGAGGGATACCGCTCCGATCATTTTAACTCTTGCTCAAACACAACCATTCTTTAGAAGAAATCAACTATCATTTTGGAGACGATGGATATATAACTGTTAGTATCACTTTTCTTTATCTCTTTAATTTTTAACATAATTTCTCTTTTAATATATTTTTCGGCTAAAAAATAGAGTATTTTGGGATGTTGTGCATGCCATCTTTCTTTGTTTTCCAATATGCTTTTCTGAATTTTTTAGCGTATTAAATGCTATTTTTTTTTATTGCAATTGTAACTGAAGCTATAAGAGTGAAGGTAGATAAAGGAAGTGTTCTATCTGATGGTGTTGGCAGTGTTGCAGCTCAACGAAGAGGTATATGGTAGTTATGAGTTTCCTTTCCTTTTTCTCACTAATAACTTCTGTAGGGATTGTTGGTTAAATAGAAAGGCAATCATTTATTATACCAATGAAATAACTTTTTTATTTTAAAAAAATTATGAATATAACTCATTCGTGGTTGGAACACTGATTTTAATATCCGAAATTCTTGAAAAGTAATAATGTCCATCAAATGAGTCTTTTTTCTTTTTCTTTTTTTTTTTCTCCTTCTCCTAATAAGCTTTTGTTATTGATTCTCTTTTTTTTTTTTTTTCGGCCTTTTGTTCTTAATTCTTATTAGTAGAATTGAAGCAAAATATTTTTTTTTTTCAACAGCAACGAAAATATATGATTTAAAGTTGATGGACGCAACTGCCTGTGAGATTATGCATTTTATATGTCGAAAATTATCAGCTTTGGATGAGGATGAATTTGTGCAAAGTGGAGCAGTGGAAGCAACCTTTCAAGCTATCAAGAATGGCATCCCTGAGATTGCAATTGAAATTGCAAAAGTTAATACTAATAAATTATGGAGCCGTATTGATCCTGAAGATAAATCAATGAACATGTTTGCATGTGCCATAGCATATCGTCAAGTGGAAGTGGCAAAATTTCTTTATGAATTTAATGCAAGAACTAGTACAAATATAGTTTTTACCCGCGATAAAGATCCAAACAATTTATTACATTTAACAGCAAAGTTAGCTCCTCGTTCTGACCTTGATCACATCTCAGATGCAGCTCGGTTGCAAAGTGAGCTACGCTGGTTCAATGTAAGCATCTCATGCTTTTAAATGTTCTGTCAATTAACAAATTTTATATTTTGATGTCACGTGGCTCCATTAATTCTGATTATTGATAATGAGTTTCACACCAAAACATCTAGAATAATATTTTGAAATTAATGTAGGCGGTGAAAGGCATTGTTCCACAGTTCTACAACTATCATAAAAATAAGGATCGCGATACTCCTTTCGAAGTGTTTGTTAAGGAACACAAGGAGTTGCTAAAAGAAGCGGAACAATGGGTGAAGAAAACAGCAGAATCTTCTACAGTCGTAGGTACTCTAATCATTACAATTATGTTTGCTGTGGCTTTCACTGTTCCTGGTGGGAATGATCAAAATACAGGCTTCCCTATATTTTTGAACAAAACAACAGACTCTTCTACAGTACCTTCTCCAACCGTGCCATTCATGATATTTGTAGCATCAGATGCAATTTCTCTTTTTGCTGCATCTAGTTCGGTGCTAATGTTTTTGGGGATTCTTGCTTCACGTTATGCTTATGAAGATTTCTTTAAATCCTTACCCGTGAAGTTAATTATTGGGATCTCTTCACTCTTCATCTCTATTGCAGCAATGATGGTAGCATTTTGTGTTGCTCTTTTCATTATGCTACAAGATCACTTGTGGATAGTCATACCAGTAACTTTGCTTGCTGGTATTCCGATCGTTATCTTTGTACTGTTACTGTCTCCTTTTCTTGTTGAGCTTTATGCTATGACTTTTGGACCAGGCATCTTTGATAGGAAAAAGAACAGTTCGGAAAGGAAGAGATGGAGTCACTACAACAATAGGTGCTGGCTCTCTAAACTAGATTCCAATCGAAAAAAGGCCTTAGCTCCAACAACTCAAAGATAGATGTTCTGTCATATTAAGTCTAGTAATTATACGAGTGTGCTCTATGTGTATTGTAACTGCAAGAAACATTTGGTGGATGTGTATTCTTTGAAGATTTAATATACTTTTGTAAGTGCCAAACTCCTTAGGCAATCAAAGATTTATGTGAATGTTAAATATATAGTGCTCCAAATATCCTGTCATAATATCTGAGGCACAGTTAGAGCGGAGAATTGCTAGATTGCATTTGTGCAGCATGAGGACATGAACCATGTCATGTTGCAGGACTTGGTTCAGGGAGGCCGTTTGGGTTTTTATGCTCAGCTTTGTCCTAATGCTTCAAAATCTTTCATAAGCTTCTGAGCACACTAAACGGATGACTGAAAGGATCAAAAAGTAAATTGATATCAGTTAATCATAAAAGAGAAAGGAGTTAAAGGACTTTTATATATATTTTAGAAATATATATTTTGCAGTCCATGTTATCTTCGCTCTAATCTCTTTTTTGTTTTTTTGAAGAACTACCATAGGTTAAGCATTTTATATTTTAGCATGAAAATGAAAAGATATTTAGACAGGAAATCAACCATTTCCTCTTGGTTTCTTTCTTCTCTCTCTCTCTTTTTCTTTTTTGT